TCTCTTTATTTTGATGAATTTAACTATTTTTAGATACCTCATATAAATAGAATCATGCACTATTTGTCTTTCTGTGATTGGCTTACTTCACTTAGTATAATGTCCTCAAGGTTTCTCTATGTTGTTGCGTATCGTAGAATTTCCTTTTTTTTTTTTTTAAGGCTGAATAGTATTCCACTATAGGTATATGCCACATTTTCCTCATCCATTCATCTGTTGATGGACATTTAGGTTGTTTCCACATCTTAGTTCTTATGAATAGTGCTGAAACAAACAAAGGAGTGCTAATACCTCTTTGAGATCATGATTTCAGTTATTTTGGATGAATATGCAGAAGTAGGATCGCTAGATTATATGAAAGTTATATCTTTTATTTTTTGAGAAACCTCCATATTGTTTCTCACAGCAACTTCACCATTTTGCATTCTCGCCAACAGTGTGCAAGGGTTCCAATTTCTGCACATCCTTTCCAACACTCATTGTCTTTTGTTTTTTTGGTAATAGCCATTCTGACAGGTGTGAGGTGATATTTTATTCTGGTTTTGATTTGCATTTCCCTGATGATTAATGATGTTGAGCATTTTTTAATATATCCATTGGTCATTTGTACATCTTCTTTGGAGAAATGTCTGTTCAAGCCCTTTGCCCAATTTTTAATGGGGTTATTAGGTTTTTTTTGTTTTTGTTTTTAATTATTGAGTTGTAGAAGTCCCTTATATATTTTGGAGATTAATCCCCTTGCAGACATATGGTTTGTAAATATGTTCTCCCATACCATAGGCTGCATTTTCACTCTGTTGATTATTTCCTTTGATGTGCAGTAGCTTTTTAGTTTCATGTAGTCCCATTTGGTGTTTTGTCTGTTTTGTTTTTGTTGTTGTTGTTGTTGCTGCTGCTGACTGTGTATTTGGTGTCATACCCATAAAATCATTGCCAAAACCAATGTCATGAAACTTTCCTTCTATGTTTTCTTCCCAGAATTTTACAGTTTGTTATCTTAAGTTTAAGTCTTAATCCATGTGCAGTTGATTATTGTGTATGATGTAAGATAAGGATTCAATTTCATTCTTTTGGTTATGGATATCCAGTTTTCCCAGTACCATTTATTAAAGAGACTGTCCTTTCCCCACTGTATATTCTTGTTACCCTTATTAAAGATCAGTTGACTATATGTGCATGGATTTATTTCTGGGCTCTCTATTCTGTTCTGTTTGTCTGTATGTCTGTCTTTATGCCAGTACCATAATGCTTTGATTACTGTAGCTTTGCAACATATTTTGAAATCAGAAATTGTGATGCCTCCAGCTTTGTTCTTCCTTCTCAAAATTGATTTTGCCACTCATGGCTTTTTTGAGGTTCTGTATGAATTTTAGAATTTTTTTTTCTATTTCTGTAAATAAATGCGTTTGGAATTTTGATAGGGATTCCATGGAATATGTAGATTGCTTTGGATATGGATTTTAATTTCTTAAAATAATATCTCACTTCTATTATTTGAATAAATTGGCTGTTGCTAAAAGGAATGCATTTTTGAATGATTTGTGTATTTCTAACAATCTTGCTGAACTTTAGTTAGCACACACAGTATGTTGATTCAATTGGATTTCTATATAGATAATTATATCACCTGCCAATAATTTTTTATCTTTTCTTATCCAATCCTAACATGCCTTACGCCTTTATCCTGTCTTAAAAGACAGGCAGATGGTAGTGGAAATTTTAAACATGCTTTTTTCTTTGTTTCAGTGGAAATGCTTCTAAATTTATTCTAGTGTAGTGCATTTATTTTCTCATAAGTTTTTTGTAAATATTCCAGGAAGTTTTTTTAAATTTATTTTTTAATTGACATGTATTGATTGTACATATTTATGGAACACAGAGTTATATTTCAATACATGTATACAATGTGTAATGATCAAATCAGGATAATTAGCATATTTATCATCACAAAATTTATCTTTTTTTTGTGATGAGAGCATTTGAACTCCTCTCTGCTAGCCATCTGAGAATATACAATAAATCATTGTTGGTTATAGATGCCTATCACAAGTGTAGACCACTAGAACTTATTTTTCCTATCTAGCTGTACTGTATCCATTAACTCACTTCTCCCTATTCCCCCTTTCCCCTCCCCTTTCCAGCCTCTAGTAAGCACAATTTCACTCTCTATTTCTATATGCGCAACTTTTTATTAGCTCCCATATATAAGTGAGAATATGTGATATTTATCTTTCTGTGTCTGACATTTCACTTTCCGTAATATCTTCCAGGCTCACCCATGTTGCTGCAAATGACAGGATTTCATTCTTTTGTGGCCAAGTAGTATTCCATTGCGTATATATAACACATTTTCTTTATCCATTCATCTGTCATTGGACACCTAGGTTGATTCCATGTCTTGGCTATTGTGAATAGTGCTGCAAAAAATATGGAGGTGCAGTTACCTCTTCAGTATGCTAATTTTCTTTCCCTTGGACAAATAAATACCCAGCAGTGGAATTATTGGATCATAACCAGCAAGTTTTTTGATACTCTTATTATTCTGTAAATTTCATCATAAATAGGTATTAATACCTTATTCTGCAACTTTTATCATAAGTAAGATGCTTTTTCTATGTCTTATGAAATCACGATATGATATTTCTTCTTTGGCCTAGTATTAAAGTGAAATACATTGATATATTTTTCTGATATTGAACTATCCTTTCATTCTTGGCATAAATACTACTTGATCAATATGTACTATTTATTAATAAACTGTTGGATTTGGTTAGCTAATATTTTATTTAAAACTATTGCATTTACATTCACAAAATGATACAGGCTTATGCTTTTCTTGTCTTATATCTTCCTTATCTAGTTTGAGAATCAAGATTATACAAGCTTTGTAAAATTAGCTGGACAACTGGGTAACTTTACTTTTTGTTCATTGTTTTTTCATTTGCTGGAGTAATTTATATAAAATAGTATTATCCCACACACAAGAAATAAGTATGTGAGGTAATACTTTGTTAATTAGCTCATTTTACCCATTCTGCAATGTATACATATTTCAAAACAACATATTGTACAGGACAAATATACCCAATTTTTATGTGTCAATTTGAAAAAATAAAGAAAGAAAAAAATAAAATAAAAAAGGCATTGGATAAGCCCTTGAAAACTTAGTAAAATTCCACTGGAAAACCATCTAAGCTAGGAGCTTTTTCTGGTGGGGAGGTTACAGCTTCCTTTTCTTTAATCATTATTTTACACACTGATGTACCTTATAAATTTTGTATTATGTGAATGCACAAGCTATGTAGAAAAATACATGCATACACACAGACACCGACACACCTTTTAAAAACCAGAAAAGACTGATGTACCTTATAAATTTTGTATTATGTGAATGCACAAGCTATGTAGAAAAATACATGCACACACACAGACACCGACACACCTTTTAAAAACCAGAAAAGAAATACACAATTATTTTTAAATTCACACAATCCAGTTTGTGCTGAATATCTTCCACTTGCCATTGGAAGATATTCTTGCCTACCCTGCTTGCCCTCAACATGCTGCTCTGTATATACACGTTCCACTGAGATCGAGCTTCTGATTGGGTAGGCCACTCTCCAAAAAGAAATCCAAGAGGAAGGGAGAGTGGTCAGGGTATTTATTCCCCTAGTTCCCTTCCTGGAGGTCCCTTCAGGCTTGTTACTTCCTTGAGCAGTCACATGTCCTCTCAAGGTGGTTCTCCCTCTACCTCTCTTCCTCTCTGAGTTCCAAAAATAGCTCCCTCTGCTCATCTATTTGGGCCTATGGGTGTTAACAATCTCTGCTGTTGCTAGTGGTGGGATACTACACTTTCTTTGTGTTTTCTCTACACCTTGTCCACATGTTTGTAAATAGTTCCCTTAAAAAGCTGTTCTTGAATTATCCTAATTTGAATGTGCCATCTATTTCTTCCTGGGACCCTGACTGATACAACTTTATATATTTAGGGGAGAAAATCTGCCACCGTTCTCCCCTCCAACACACATACACACATACTCCTCTGGGTTAACAATTACTAACACTTGGGTGTGTATCTAACTAACACAGACATATTTTTGAGATTTATAACACCAAAAACATGTAGAAGAAACACAGACGATGTTTTTAAAATAAAAACTTTTTTTTAAAAGTGAAAATTTCTTTGGCTGGCCAGCTAGCTCAGTTGGTTAGAGCGCGGTGTTATAACACCAAGGTCAAGGGTTCAGATCCATGTCCTGGCCAGCTGGAAAAAAAAAAAAAATACTAAAACAGAAAGTGAAAATTTCTGGTTGCTACTAACCATGCCTCGCTTTTTTTTCTTTCATAATTGAGATTTTATTGGTTGTATTGAGGATCATTACAGGCATTTCAATTTGTACACAATTCTTAACATATGTACCAAAATTCTAAAAAGCCACGTTTCATGATTTATTAAAAAGTTTTTCCAGTGACCTTCCAGCTTCAAATTTGGAGGCAAACTTTCCTTGAGAGGATATAAGTACCAGTATCTCCAGATGTCGGTGAGCTGTTACATAAGAGTCCCACCACTTCACAATTTAATATCATATACACTACATAATCAAATTTCCAGTCATTCACAACACATTAACACAATTATTAGGAAAATTGGACTACTACGACCAAAGATGTTACAGAGTGCACACAGTTCTGACAGGGAGAGCAATGTTTAAGGAGTGGTCTTCTTCAAGAAACAATCCTACTAAAAAATAACATGGGAATAGAACTAATTTTAAATGTTCAAGGCACAGTAAATATATGACTGTGACTCCAAATTGCCATTTAGTATGCTTTGTATTACAGGATATAAAAACTACCTCCCCCCCCCCATCTACGGAATGTTAAGCTGACACCCAAGACAGTCAAAGCCCCCAATAATTCAATATCCCACTATTTTCTGGTTGTACTAAAAAATGAACAACCAGCAAATGATTTCACCTCTAAAAAAAAAGCATTTACACTTAAAAAATGGGATGAGGTGGGATTCCTTCTTTAAAAATGTTTCTAGAATTACTAAAAAACTTGCATTTACAAAATAGTTGATAAAAATATTCCTCTGGATTGTACAAGAGTGACAGGAACCACTGATAAGACATGGAATAGGATATTGATCGGACGGCTTCTTTCTCTCCTGCGTCCTCAGAGGCTGGACTCTCATCATTTTTAGTTTCTCCGTTTCCGGCAGGTAAATCTTTTGTTTCTTGGTCGGTCACTTCGGCCTGTTTTCCCTTTGCTCCCCTTTTCCCTTTCGTTTGTTCCCCATCCTTTGCTGCTGCCTGTTTTGGCTTCGCTTCCACTTTTGTAGGAGCAGGTTCAGCTGACAATCTCGCCCATCGCCTGTTGGGCTCCTCTTTCGCGGCCCCTTCCTTCGGCTGAGCGGACCTCGCTGCTTCTTGGGCTCCTCTTTCGCTGCCCCTTCGGCTGAGCTGACCTTCCTCTTGGGCATCCTGGCGGCGGGGAGGGCGCTTGCCGGGTGCCTGCGGGCCGCGGCGCGCCGAGAGCCTTCGCAAAGCTGGGCTGCTGGGCCGCTGCCGCTCCTCCCGCCGCCCGAGCTGCTAGGACCCGCGGCGGGGGCGCTGGGAGAACCCACCAAGCCTCAGTTTATAAACTCTTTCCTTTCTTGATCGCTATAACCCTTCACAATTCTCGTACTCCTTTAATCTTTTTGATGGCTCTCTGACCTGCCCTTATGGGCTTATCTTCTTACATTTAGGTGTCTAGCTTCTGTCCATCCTTCTGTTCTCTTACCGCCCTCTCTCTCTTTGAGATGTTATTTCCTTGCATGGTTTCAATCACCATTACTATACAAATGATTCCCAAGTCTATGTCTCCAGCTCCGACCTCTTTCCCAAGTTCCTTTATTTTCATTACTCCGTGATGGCTACCCCATGGCTACCCCCACTATGAACATACTAACAGCAATTCAAATAGGAAAGGATCAAAACCAAATTTATACCTTTCCCATTTAACGACTTCCTCCATATGACTTTCCTCTTTCTATTACTAATACCAGCAATCTCCTTGTCTTCCCAGCTCAAAATTTTGGTGCCGTATTTATTCCTTTTTGTTGCTTTCCATCACTGTTATACAGTAGAACACACTTTAGCAACTCCTGTAGCTACAGTATTCATCCAGTATTTATCTTCTCTTTTCAGTCACCACAACCAAAATCCAATATGATATCCCCATCCTGGAATCTCACAACACCCTCCCAACTAGGCTTCTTACAGCTGGTTTTTCCTCCCCTCACAGCTAGCCATCCAACATATTGCTAGGCTAGTCTTCCTTAAAAACACAATACTTCTACTCTCTGATTTAAAAAATAACTGCTCAGTGTTTCCTGAAGTTAAGTCTAAACTTCATGGTTTGTGTCCAAATATCTCTACTATATGACCTTGACCTACACAAGGCCTCATCCCAACATTTCCACCATGCTCCAGTTACAGAGCCTTAACATACACTTTTTCCCTGTTTGTAAAGTCTTCTACTCATCTCTGCTGGTTTAAATTCTTGAAGTTCCAGCTCAGATCTTACCTCCCTAATGTGCCCTTTTTGAGACATTAATCATAATTTTACTTTTTTATATTATTTCTGTACTGTCATCTTACCCACCAGATTCAAAGTTCTCTGAGGGCAGGGACTATTTCTTATTCAGTTTTGTTTCCCTCACAGCACTTCTATAACCACTTTCACATAATCAGTGATCAATAAATATACATCAACTAAATTAATTGAAGAAAACAAATCATCAGAAAGAACTAAGTTTTCTTTAATAAAAATTTGCAAACCATGTCCTTTTTGTTCCTTAAATAGTTTTGTTTTTCTTTTTAGGTACATGTATAGCTATATTCTGTAGCAGCTGTTTATTCTTAGACTTTTAAAAGTTTGTAGATCCTGTAAACTATGTGCAGGAGATGCAGTCCAATGCACGGTATGAGACTGATCACAACATGACCCATAATTGTTGTATGATATCCAATCAAAACAAGCATGACTTTGGTACAAGCCAAACTTTAAGAGAAAGTGCAAGTAGGATAAAAATTCTCACTATATTGGGCCTTTTACTGAAATACTCATTGCAATTACTTCCTTTTTAGAGGTACTACTACCCAAATCCATTTTAATGGAATTATCTTAATTGTTGTATTTTTATAGGTAATCAGTGCAAATAAAACATAATTATGGTACTTCTGGCTGTCAGAAGTTGAATGTATTGTGTGACCAGCTCAATTTAGAAGCTAAACTATGAAGTATTATGTATAAAATAAAAGAAAAATTTTAAAGATGGAATGACACAGGTGGCTGAGTAGATTTGTTTGCTACTTCAGTGTGAAGAAAAGATTAAATGTGTGAGGGCTGACCAGTTAGCTCAGTTGGTTAGAGCATAATGTTGATAACACAAACGTCTAGGGTTTGATCCCTGTATCAGCCAGCTGCAAAAAAAAAATTAAACGTATTTATTCATTTGTGCATTCATTCATTCATAAACCTATACTCTGTGCCAAGCACTATGTTAGGCACTGGGGATATCAAGAAGAATAAAGATATGATTCCTTCTTTAAAAAGGAAACAGGACTATAAAAAAATGATGGGAAAATAATTTAAATGTAAAGTTTGTGCCAGGCCATAGCCGTAGCACAGAGGAGAAAGAAAAAAATGATTGTTACGAAGAGTTTCATCCTTGAGAGCCTTTACTAATCTGGCTTTCTGTAACTTACTGTAAAATATCACCCACTGGACAAAACCAGAAAGAAAGAACATATTATAAGACTCAAGTATTTGAATAATTTATAATGGCTTTATTGCTTGGAAAATTTCTATTTATTTTGGCAATATGATGAGATCACTGGTCTAAAAGTGGAAGAGATAAAGTATACAGCATTGTAGGGCCAGAAAAAGAACATACAATTATAATTATTTAAAAGGGAGTGCTAGTCATTATTATTTCCCATGGTCAGGAGAGAAAATGCTTGTTTACTTCAAATTTCAACGGCACACTTATCTGCCTTAGATTTCTTATCTTTGAGCTAAACAAACCATTTTAATTTCAAGCAAAGCCCCAAAACATTATGTCTCAAAATACATATTTAATTAATTGCTTATTTACTTTGTGTTTTCCTCACTAGACTGTGACCTTCTTCTAGGACAGAAACTATTTCTTATTAATCTTTACATTTAATGCCTAAGCACAATTCCTGACACATAGCAGATAATATGTACTTGTTAAAAGAAAAATGTATATATAGACCTTTAGATCCTTCCCAGCTCTCAATATGAGTTTTCTGATGCTCGTCATTTGCAACCTTTTCTTGTCCTCATTCTCCTGATAAGAACAATTTGCGGGGGTGAGGAGGTGGGAGGATTTTCAAATAGCCTAGTAAATAGTGTATCAGTGTTGCAACAAATTAAAGCTCCAAGACCTACCAAGGAACTTTAATTCTCAAAAAAGAAAAGAGGACTTCTATTTATATTTAAACTTAAAAGTGTACATTTTCTGACATTGTTCCTCTTGTTGGATATCTGTGAGATACCTTATCAAATAGAAAACTGCAGCAGACATGGCCCCAAACTTCATTTGAAATAATGTATTTATTGATTTTATTTTTATCCTCACTTTTGCTGTAGTTGCTGTGTATGGCTGGGAATGTGTAAAATATGCTAAACAAGAAACCCTGTTCATACCTGAAGAGTTAGCAGTTAAAAGGCACAAAGAAATACAATGGATTTAAAAGCCTCTTGAAGAACAGCCTTTTGCTGCGTGGATGCCAGGCAGGACCATATGTGGCAGGAAAAGAGTTGGGGAAACTGCTTTAAAAAGCTATTAAATAGAAATGTGAAAAATCAGGGAACAATCAGGAAAGGAGGGAGGTGCTCACCATTTAAAAGGCTTTTAAATGTGACCATATTTTTGTTGGCTTTTTGCCTGCAACATAAAATGAGGATGGTGTACTGAATGACTTAGCTAGCTGCCGAAGGTGGTGTGAATGGGATCTGGGCTAGGAAGTCAAGGCTGAATTTTGAGATGCCACTCTGGACTGTGTGCAGCTGTTGAGACAACTCTCAGCAATGATTTAGTGAAGTAAACACAAAATTCAGTCTGCCTGCTCAATCACCCTTTCATTCTTGTGTTTTTCTTGATCCCATAAATATTTGCCTGTGCTATCTTTGCTGCAGATATTAAAGAGTTAATAGATTAGCCAGCCAACAGGCAGGAATCAAGAAAAGCCACAGAACTTAGAATTGAACAGCTGACAGCAGATTCTGCAGGTGCGAGATGGGAATCAGCTCTGCATTTTCTGTGTAGCCCAGTTTTCTCTGTCTGGACTGTGGCCTGATTTCCTGGCCCCTTCAGAATAAGCTGAGTTATAAGGGAGAGAATCTCAGAAGGTCTTGCTCTATGATCCTATGAACTCTAGCCCTTCAAAAGGAAGCAATCTCCTTCTACGTTTAGACTGATAATAATACATAGTGGTGGTGGCCTTGTAAGATTTTAATTTCATGTTAGGAAAGAAAAATGCAATCCTACTTAAATAAGAAATGGTGGATTGAACTGCACAGCACAACAAATTAGCCTCCAGCAATTGGGTGTCAAAGTGAGTGTGTGTATGTATGTCCGTGTGTGAATGTGAGGGAAAGGGGATCACTACTTGTATTGAATATACAAGTACTACAGTAAGTAGTAAGTCCATAACAGATTAGGAGAAAGGAGAGAAATGGGCTGCATTAAAATGCACATTTTTAATAAACTAGTGTATTATATTCTTTTAATTATTCCATTTGCTGGTACTGGACATTCAAGGCTAAACTCCACGTAGTGGCAATGCTTCCAAATCTTTTTGGCTCAATAGTGGTAAAAATATTAATTATACAGCACTTAAAAATGTTCAGTATGATCCCTTGATTAACAAAACATTCCAGTGCTTCTTCTGCAAAGGGCCCTGGGTTGCCTGCAAGATTTATAGTAATAGTGGTTGATTGGATTGATAATAGGAAAATTAATTTGATTTTTTTTAATGCTTGTGAATATGGCATACACATTCAAACCCTTTTGAACAAATTTTATTATAAACTATGTATTTGTAATAATGATAGAAGAACTCAGAGAACAGGGATTTTTTTTCTAGATAGACCCCAGGAAGGACAGATAAATGCCTTCAGTTAACGTGATCAAAATGGGAGCTAGTATCTACTATTAAACCCCATTTCGAATGTTCTCTTTGTCTCAGGACTACTGCAAATCCCTAAAATTCTGTTTCCAATTTTCCCTTCTGAGGATCTTGTGATTTAGACTGTAAAAGATTACCAACTTTCAGAAACACTGGCTTTAGACTAGTTTGACTTAGAGAACCCTGAAAAGGCCTCCCCAATCCATAAATGTCTTCCCCAGACTTTGTGTGGGGGTCTAAAATTTCACCATTAGAAATTTTAATATTTAGAATAATTCTTTGTCCCTTACTGATAAATTCAATTTCAAAACACAGTAAAATTAAATAAACATAAAAATACAAAAATATAAGTATACTATAAATATAATTTTTAAGTATGTGTGGCCAAAGATCAGAAGAGAATATAGAAAATTTA